TAGGGGAATCAATGACAACATGTTTCAAAGCAGAAATCTTTTCATGCTTGGTTTTTTTTTTTGTTTAATGAGATTTCAGGTATATTTTAACAACTGGGGTTTCCCTGATGAATCATTAAAATAAGTGAGTGGGCTGGAAGGTAATACGAACTTTTCTCAGTACTGCCCTATTTTACTCTGCTGGGTTATTGGTTGCTTTTTAAGTAGAACCTGGGTGTGTTGGAGTTGGTGGTTGGAGGTTCAGAAGGGAAGAAGGGAAAGGGTCAGTTAGGAAATGCTAGGTAAACCTCTGATGACCTATCGGGAAATCCTACTCAAATTCTGCTTTCCTCAATTTACACCATTTTGTGTTTAAGCTTTCTATTTTTGCTCTGCCAAGCTCAACTTTCCAAGTACTGTATATAGGCAAATAGAAAATATATTTTCAGCAATTGATTGAAGTTTAAGGTATCAAGCCATGTGTGGATTAGCCTGTGAAATCAATTTCTCATGTGTGTGGGATTAAAATCGTTAAAACCATCATCACTGAAACCGTACCTTCCTACAACTAATAGCAGTAAGGTGTCTGTGGAATATATTAATACAACACATCCTCTAATTTAAAATTATTACTTGGTATTTGGTTGGAAAATTATTTGAATATTATAGGTAACTGCATTGACATCATATATGAGGGCTAAATATGGGTTTCTAATGTGACTTAGCTTTAGTTTTTAAAAATCCACATGAGATATTTATACTTAGCACATCTTTTTCAATAAATCAGTGGCATATGGCAAATTTCCTTTAGCTATACTGTTTAAAAACAAAAAACTGAACTACCACAGCAGTTATAACTGCTGGAGGAGGTAGACAAAAATGTAGTTCACCTTGAAAATGATCATGGCTCAAGGAATAAAGAAACTGGGTCAAGCTTAAAATAAATGCAGGTACGATGACAAAAGTTTTAATATAAATTTAAAAATATTCACAGCATTGGTTTCAGGCTACTTTTGTTCTTGGTGATCTTACCAATAATGCATTACTCATTTTTAATTGAGATGACTCTAATGGCACCTTTTCATTTTGGTCAAAATATTTATATGAAATACTATTGTGATTTTTCACCTTATATTCCCTCTTAATTGTAAATGTACATTTTTGGAAGGCAGATAATTCTCCAATATATCATTTTGACCTCTGGTAATCTTAAATAGAACTTGAAGTGGTTTAACATTCCTGTGTCCTAGCTATCACTTTGACTCTTTTTATATTGCTAAATTAATGTTTAGCATTTAACCACGTATCATTAATTCATAGTATTGATAATGAATTAAACTTTCATAAAGCTTTAATAGTGTAGCACGTTCTCATTCATCTGGTGTCACTGGGGAATAAAAAATGCTGAAGAAATGAGGTTTTTTAAAACTAAAGCTTACTTGTTTAAGCAGAAAAACTTAAAAGCTGATAAAAATTTTTCTGAAACATTTTTTGTGCTCTTTTAGGGAATTTGAATGGATTGACCATTTACTCATAAAATATCATCATTCTAGTGTCATGTAGAAAGGACGTGGGCTTTCTGTTTGGTGTTTATTCTCCAATGTGGGAAGTTTTGTTTGTTTGTTTCTTCCTTTTAAAATGCCATACCCCTAATTCTAATATACTTACTCCGTTTAATTGTTTCAGGGCTTAAGGTCTGTGGTGGTACATGTGCTAATGCCTTAACAGATTCATAAATCCAGGCACCTATGTAAGACATTTCGCTGCATGTAGGCTCACCCAGCATCTTTTGGCAAACACCTGGCCGCAGCTTCCTGCCATGGAGGAGACTCTGTCCTTCCCCTGGAGTGAGGACTTTCAGTGTTGAGGCCCTGTTACTGCTGCTCCAAAACACTCACTCTCCAGTAGCCATTGCTAGTGGTGCAAAATGTCTGTATTTACCTGGCGTGCTCCTGAGAATCTATTATGTCAGGTGACCATCTTCAGTTTTCTGGGATTACTGCTAAAATGGGCAAATGGTGTACTCCCTTTATCTTTTAGTAAATTCCAGCGTAGCAGCAAAAATCCTTTTTAACACGGTGTCTTTTTTTTTTTTTCCCAACTCCTGCTCATGTTTCCAGCAGTGTTTTCTAAAACAAAGCTCAATGAAGCACAGTGAAAGTATTATTTGAGCAGTTCTTTAATGTGCTGTGATGACATTTGGTTTGAATCTTATATTTAAAAATCAGGTTCCCCTCTTTTGCTTGCACCTAGTGGGAATCATCTTTCTTCCAGGTTGTGCTTAAAGAAGACTATAGGGGAAGAACAAAATTTCTTCTTGCTGCAAAAATTGCAGTAGAAGTAAAAGGGGGAACTGCCGGGATATGTCTGTCTCCACAAAACAAGCAGAACAAATTTCCATGAATCAAAGCCACTAAGTATAGTTTTCAGAGGTGGTAGGACATAGTTACTTTCCCTAGAAAAATACCCCAAATGCAGGCACACCCGTTGGCCACTAGAAGAATGCTCAAGTAAACGCTAGTTCAAACCTGTACATTTCACTCTTCTTACTGCGCTATTAAAGGGGTGGAAATCTGCTATAACTATAATCTTTTTTCCGCTTTTCTATTTTTCAACCTCCCACACGCTTGGTGTTCAGTTCTGCTTAGTGAGTGTCTTGAATCTACAGCAGCACCTACACGTACTGCCTCCACAGTGGCTGATAGTTTGCAGATAACTCATGATTCAGACCCATAAGAAACATCTGTAACTATAGGGCATGGTACGTGCTCTAGATTAATCATGGAAAAGGGCAGAGCAATGAAGAATCAGAAAGCTTGTTTTTTTCCAAATATTAATGTTGCTTTCTTTGAGGTTATATATGAGTGGAATATTCTCTAGAGTGGTTTATCACATTCCATCACTTGGGGAAATATCTCAGGTCATTTTTATAAGAACCTTTTAGAGACCTTTTAAGCATATACACCTTAGTGTGGTTAGGTCAGAGGAAATAAAGCAAGATAGCAGATATCTGTCATGTGATGCAGTAAGCAAATTAGTGTTAAACTGCTTTTATTTTTTCTTGAAACCTTTGATATAATTTTCAAAATTGCCTTTCACTAGTTTTTCATTTGCTTTCTAGAAGTTTCCTTCATTTGAAGGGTTACTGGCTACCATTTTGTTAAACCTGGAGGCTGTTTTGTTAACTTACTGAATACAGCATTATAAAGTTCAAGTCACCAGCCAGCCTGAAAAACTCGAGCTGCATAGCGCAGTCTCTGAGCTTACTTCTTGCCCACAAAATCTGCAGTACTCTCAAATTTGTATTTGAAATACAATCTGCTGATGGGGAATGGGTAACACCCACTGCCTTTCAAATGCATGTGTATATCTACTTTTCCCACCTTTCCTTGGTGAATAGGGAGCTGTGTTTGAAAAGACCTGATTTTAAAATGCTGGAGGATTCTATCTTTACTCCTTAAGTAAGGTGGTTTATCCTAATAATGGGAGGGGCAAAATACCTTATTTCTGTTTGTCAGCTGCTATGCTTCAATTTTATCTTCACATCACACCTCTGAGGTTAGTACTTTTATCCCCATTTTAGAGAAGGTGAGACTAAGTCCTACAATGTTAGGTAGCTTGTCCAAGGCCCTACAGCTAGGACATGACAGAGCTGAGCTTCAAACCTGTATCTCCCTAACCCCAGGACTCATACCTTTTCCACCCGAGGAGCACTGCTTCCTATTTTACAGATAAGTGAAGTATGTGTTTGTATCTTTTCCCCAAAAATGCTCATTGGAAGATTTAAGACATCAAGAAGTAAGCTTTTTTCACTTCAGTCATTTTTTGAGAACCGTTTGAGACATTTTGCTTTGAAAGGCAATTTAAGCAGGCATTGCTTTGACTGAGCAAAGTAAAGCACAGTTTTCTTAGTTAGGAGCATCACTGAGTTTTTGAGACTAATAATTTTGTGGAACAACATTATTAAGGAAAGCAATATGCTTGCTGAACGAGTGGTGTTTACTTAAGTCATAAAGGAGAATTCAAACATCTGGAATATTTTTAAACAATGTAGTTGTTATGTACCAAGTGATATTTCTTATTTACTTCTTACAGGAAATAGCATATAATTTGAAATATATAAAAGTTTTTACGTTCATACATATATTTTTATCTCACTGAGCACTTTAACAAAAGTGATATTATTAAAGTAAAAAGTTGCTTGACAGCCGATTCTCTGTGGTGAAAATTTTACCACATCTTTAATAGTAATGTTACTTTATCGCTCTTAATGCCTTTGTTGTTTAAAGTAAGGTTGTAGAAACTTTGCTGGTTCACAAGCATATAGCTTTACCCTACTTTTTCGGTCTTCCTTTGGGGGTGGGATATTGACAATACTGAGGAAGTGGTCAAGCGTCTCAAGAAATTGTATCCTAAAGATTTTTAACACTAGAGAATAGAGATTTGAATATGAGTGTGCTGTCTTCTAAATATGGACTCGTTGGAGGCATTGGTAGCTGATGAATTTAAAGATGGATTAATATGAGAGTTCCAGAATCAGAGAATTCCTGAACTGGAAAGGCCCATGCAAATGAAGGGCTCTTGGAGTGAAAGTGTTAGTTAGGACATGAGTTCAGTGACTGTCCAAGTCTAGATAGAGGTCTAGGCCAAGCCAGTGCTGAGGTTACTGAGTCAGGGTCATAGCCGTTCCAGCCAGGAAGTGAGTGATCACAGCGGGAGAGAACTTTAAACTTCCTGGGTAGGAGAAAAAACTGAGTCATTGTGGAAGTAATCTTAAGACGTGAAGAAAACACAAATCAGAAAAATAAAGCATCTTTATTTCCTCTTATTAACATGAATGGTATAAAAATATTGATTCCAAAGTACAAACCTCAAGTGTTATATACTTTTTAAAAAAGCAGGACAAGCCTATTTTAAAAAGTAATTTGTCTGTAAACGACTTTATTTGCTTTCTGGGTATAATATTTTAACATATTTATTTGAAAATATTTATACAAATTTTTTTTTTGCTTAATATCTAGAATCTGTGAAGATTTGAAAGGGCCAATGAGTATTCTCATCATTGAGGCATTCTATGGAGGGTCCCATAAACAGCTGGTGGATCTGCTTCAAGAAGAGTTAGAATACTGTGTTCTTTATACTCTTCCTGCAAAGAAATGGCACTGGAGAGCACGGACATCGGCTTTGTACTTCTCTCAGAATATTCCCACCAGTGAGCATTACAGGTAATTAGAGCCCAGGCTGCGTCTCCAGCCTGTTTTAAATGTACTTGTTCTAAGGAGGTTGCTTCTCTGTTGGCCTCTGTGAGATTTCTTCCAACTATGGAATTGGTCAGAATGACTACAATAGCTATTCCTTTAGCGACAGCAGAGCAGCCGAGTACATTTGTACTCTGAGGACACCTGGTCGGTAGGAAAGTGGATTCATTTAGAGCCTGCATGCCTTTTCTCATTTGTCTTGTGCTTTTATCACATGCACGTGTGGGTGTGTGATGACATTTTTTGGCCTGAGATGAGAGTTGATCTTGTGCACATTTGGTTTTTGCTTCCATAACCTCCCATGCCTCTTTTAGTGAGTATGCTGTTTTAGGGTGTCTGCTCTGTACTAGGAGCTAATGTTGGAAAGATGGATATGACCAAGGCCTGTGCCCTTACAGGCTTTAAAGACTATTCAGAGATGAGTAGTTTTTAAAGTGTCATGAGAGTATGAAAAGGGGAGAAGTTGATTTTGACTGTGACAAATTGGACGTCGCTTTGTAGAGTTGGTCAACTTTGCTTTGTCTGGAAGGATGAATAGATTTGGGGGACACAGGCCTCAGTTTTGAATTTTGAATTGTTAAGAAGTGGGAACTAGGGGGACCTATTAGAAGGGCTTACGAGACACACTGAAAAGTGTGGATGGGAAATACCGATTCCATTTTAAGGAAACAGTAGAATGGAATCCTCCTGAATATCCTTACTGCCATATGTCTCCTGATGGTTAAATAGTGGAAGATTATCCTACTGTGGTTTACATATCTGATGTTCTTACCGTTCTGGGCCCTTCTGTGTAGGACTGCATTGGTGGTGGCAGGAGTCGGGAAGGCCAGACTGATAATGAATGGAGTTCGAGCAGCTAGGTTGTTAGAGAAAGGGCACGTTGCAAGCTGCAGTGCTCACCTTGGCGTCAGCAGCCATTTCCATCTGCTGCTGGTTGTAAGGTGGGGCAGAGACAAGGGAGAGAGCAGCTTGAGATTTAAATGTAGGTTGCTGTTCTTAGTAGTAATTTGGGGGATTCAGAAAATAACCCATTTGGTGTATAAACGCCATGCATCGCCTCTGAGAATTCAGATTGTCAGATGGAACAGCAGTGAGCACTCAAGTCATGTTGCTTGGGATTATAAAGGTAAAAGCTGTTTGGGGGCATATTGAGAATTTTGTATTTTTCTAATCTAAAGTGTATTTTTCCTTATATAATTTAATGTTTTATATTCTGATAATCACCAAGTGAGTATTGTGGATTCACTAGTAGTATTAGAAATTTCAGTGCATGTATCAATACAAAAGTTTTCAAGGCAATGACAAGTGAGTCGTTGCCTTGAAACAGTGCTAAACAGGATTTTAGCACTGTTGCTGTGCTAAAATTGATTGTTTATAGTTGCTTTCACATCTCATTTAATTGTGTTTTCTCAGCACCAATTGCATTATATTACTTAAGGTCAAGTAATCCTTGGCTTTATGGCACATTTTCATTTAACATTACCATTTGATATAATACATTCATACATACCAAATGATATAATACATTTCTACAATGATTTGAGCATTGAAACAAACCATTTCTGTATCTGCTGTTAGATTTCATTTTGATTACGCAGTGTTTTGGAATGGAATTTTTGTATCACAAATATATGTGTGTGGATAGCATGCAAACAAACACTTCTGTGCCCGTGGCTTCCCCACTCCGTTTGAGGTCTGAAGCATTTGAGGTAAAACATCACATTGCTTTTTGAAGCAGTCTTATTTGGGAGGTAGATTTCTGAAAGATGGTGTCATAAAATATAAAGTTTTACTCTCTGATAGCCATAACCTCCAGGTCCTAACAGTGGTATCTGTGATCTTTCAGACTCAGCCATTTAAGCTGCAGTTAATGGTACTTATTAATCTAATCAGACTTCACTAAAACATATACCTCACCAGTCTGACTTACAGTTATATTTGACTAACGATAACTTATCTACTCTTTACCAAATAACCTTTCTGAATACTTTTAGAAGAAACAGCAGCAGCTTGAAAACTTATATACGAAGTTAAAAAATATGTTCACTCAACCCTAGATAGAAGTGCAAGAATGACGTTTTGTTACACCAGATAATTCTGATCTCTGTGGAGACTTTTAAAGATATGAAAAGTTCTTGATTTCTGTTTACTTACTCTATTTGTACATTTGTCAAATGAAATCACCAAAATTCATAAAGATAAAATGATTAAGCACCAATATTGCATGCCATGCAAAAACTACTCTGAACTAGTAGGAATGTGTCTGATAAGAAAGACCTTGAATGTAGGTACACAGGTTATTTTTTTTCAACATCTGTACACATAGTCATTGTTTTTATAAGCTCGTTATCTGGGTAATATTTTATTACTAAAAGAATAAATTGCTCCAGCCTAATTAATCAGCTTGATTCTGCTTTATCTTGACAGTGAAAAGAATACATCATGATTCACATTTAGAGCTGTTTAACTTTTATTATAGATTACAAAAGCTCCACAATTTATTTTTCTCAAAAGTAGTTTGGTAATTATTAGGTTTTATTAAAGCCTTGCCTTCTGGAAACTTCACAAAATGCAGAAAAATGTTTCTGAGGATGGGCCTCAAATTTCATGTTCTGAAATGTATGAGTCATTTGTCCCAGCATCAAGCATTTCTACTTTCTTAAAATATACCTAGAGTAGGCATCAAAGATATTTCGTTCTTTTTTCTTTCTGCAATGTCTTTACTGAACTGAAAGAATCGCTCTTACTTAAAATCATTTTTTTCACTCTCAGATGCTTACTGTTATATTTTCATTCCATCTGAGGTATTGTGGCAGATACTGATCATTGCCCACCTAACAGCCCTTCTTCCTTGTTAACAGAATTAGTTTTCTTTGGCGTGGCTAAGTACCCAGCCCCTGGGAGTGAAGCTTGATGGACTTAAGTCGGTCATGATGATTCCGTTCTCTGCCAGATTTTCCCAGTTTTCCTTGAAGCTAGTGCTGGATTCTGGCAAATTCAGTTTAAGTAGATTACTTCTGGGGGTTCTTCCAACTAAGTTTTTTAAATTTTATTTTGTGCTTTACTTATAAAAAGAGAAAGCCATCTCCCCTTCTCTGCATTTCACTGTGGTTATGATGTCTATAACTAGCAGATGACAAGATGAGGACAAAACACCTGAGCTGCCATAAATGGCTGATGAAAGGCTGGAATGCTATCGCTGCCTAGTACCCTGAAAACCCTCTGTCCCTAAAACATCTAGCTATGTTTTGTAAAGCGTAATAAATTTCGTTTTAAGTTCATAGCCGAGCAGAGTAAGAGAGGATCTGGAGAGGGATTTGGAAATTAGAGTGGTCACCTTGCTTTGAAGCCGTGGCTGCGTAGTTTTCACAAAGGGGACTGGTTAACTGAGTTATGTTATGTTCTTGAAATGAAATACTGTGCAGCATTAACCTGAATTAGGAAGCTTTCTGTGTCCTCTTATTGGAATCTCTCCAAGACAAGTGACCAAAAGTAAGGTGCCAAAGAGTGTTATTGGTGCCATCTTTGGTGCCAAGAAAGGACGTTATAAGAACGAAACAATGGAAGAGTGCATTGGAAATGAATGAAGATACTTGCCTGGGGATTAGTGTAGCAGAGGTTGTTGGTGCCCCACCCATATCCCTCTCACCTTTCTCTTGTTGTGTGCCCTGGCCAGCTTCCTGCTGTCAGTCTCTGCAGCCCTTTTTGCCTGGGGGAGTAGCTGCTCTGCCAGTGCAGGCAGCAGGCCCCAGTAGCCCTCCGCCAGTGATCTCCGCCCCCTCAGATGAAATCATTCTGAAGTGTGAACAGGAGAGAAATCATTAACAAAGATTCCTCAAAAACCCTGTAAGTCAGGAAATAAAAGCATAATTCTAAATAATTCATGGGTCACAGAAGAAATTATAACGGATACTAAAAAATAGAACTGAGTCATAACATACTGCATATCACAATGTGGGTTGCATCTAACTTGACAGTCGTAGCCACATCATCTTTAATAAATTTATTTTTATTATTGTCTTTTTAAATTGTGATATGCAGTGCCTTCTAAAGCTTGGCCCAGGGCAGGGCTCCTCTTACTTTAATCTGGGAGGAGTACTGGGAAGGAAACAATAAAAAGAGTAAAAAATAGTGAAATTGAAAGCATATATATGTGTGTGTGTGTGTGTGTGTATATATAATGGAGATGAACAAACTAAAATTAGTGATTTTGAAATAATAAAACAGATATAAATCCAGGCATGCTTTATTTATTTTTTTAAGGCACAGTTCATTTTTGGAGTGAAAAAAGTATAACTACAGATATGACACAGATCAATAAAAAGGAGGAAATACTGTTAATAATTTTATGTTGATACATTTGCAAACTTAGACAATATGGATAATTTCTTAGAAAAACATAACTTCTAACACCTCACTCGAAATAGAAAATCCGAATGGGACTATAATCATTAAAGTTGTTGTTACATTAACTAAAAATCTCGCCATTAACAGACAGAGGCTGGGTCCTCGTGCAGGTTGGTTTACACCAGTGCTTCTCTGTCTCTTTCCAGACTTGCGTTACATGAGATCAAGTGTCTAGTTTTTTAGGTTTTCTGTTTCTTGTAGCCATACTAGTCCTAATTGGTGTTGATTATCATTATATCTCCCTTCCCTACTCCCAACCCTTGACCTTTTTTTTTTTTTAAATGTCTAAGGAGGGGCAAGGAAAGCAAATAGTTGGATAGAAAATAAATTGAATGAAAGTTCAGTTGGGTCAAGTAATGTATAAAGTGAAATTCAAGCTTAAGGTGATATTTGATTGTTGATAATTCTGTTATGATTTGCCATTTTCTTAAATGGTACCTTGACTGTGTCTTTTCATTAAGCAGATTCTCTTTCAGGGAAGCTGTGATTTATTTATTTATTTTTGTTCTTAATTGAACTATTTGCTGTGGAACATTAAGCATAACTTTCTTTGGGAGAGT